CGTTGAGTGGTACCGAATCCACGCAATATAGTTTCAAGGGTTTATGTGAATGCATTCCTTATTTCAAAACTGCTTGATATTTAAAATCATTCCTTTGTTTGGAAACTTTTGTGCAACACTGCCAACTCTAGTGCAGCTGGCGCAAGTCCATTTGAATTTCGCAACCTTTCTTTGTCTCGCCAATCCACCAGTTTTAATTCTGAATAAAGAAAAACGAATAGTACCGGAAAAGTCCGATAATAAAGTCTACATAAAACAGATCTTTTCAACAAAAAAGGCAGAACACCGAATTTGAGAAGAACATATATTCCATCAACAACAGTGTTGCAGTAAGCATGACAAAAGCAACAAAGACTTCCTGGAAGACTTGAATTACAAACTCTAGAACAAAAAACAAATTCACTAGGCTCACACCAATATTGTTACTTAACCATCCTTTGTAACAAAGAGGAAATGTAAGCAACTTGACGGCAACGAAGAACTGCGAAAAGCATACGGCGATTAGAAAAAATTGAAGAGAATGCCGTTTTCCGTGCTCGGTAGATGGATCTTTAACAATGAAACGCGTATAAGCATATATGTACAGGTCCTCAAACTAGTTATATAAGGAATGAGAGGAAGATTTAGTAGGTGATAAAGAAGATCCCCGAGTGAATTATTGTAAAAAAAACCAGTAGAAGCAAATTTTTACACGCCATACGTATAGCATTTTTTTACTACACCAACCTTTTGTAAATTACCCAAACTTCCTATTACACTATTTTATTACTTATTTCGTCTTTTCTACAATGATAACTAGTAAATACTCTGACATTAACTTCAAGAAAACTTTCTTTATCAGACCCTTTTCATCGAGACTTTCCCTCTAGTTTTCAAAATACCATTTTCGCTTTTTTCAGCAGCTCAAGACAAAGACTTCAAAAGCTAACTGTGATTTTTGAGCAAATAGCTAGGTAAACTCATCGCGATGAGCCTTTAATCAAGCTGATACCCCAAATTCTTAAAACTGTTGCGTAGTTGTGTATATCAAAACAACAAAAACTTCTGCTAAACACTGCAGTAAAGATAAAACGCCGTATTCCTTTCGCGGATAAATCTAAAAACGTAAAAGCGTCACGCACATGACTAAGGATACTTCAACTAGGCAGTTTTCCAAAATTTTAAAGTGGAAGACACAGTGAGATCAACTTGACGACAAACATGGAACTGGTTATTCTGAACAGCTTAGTGCAACTAAAAAATCGAAAAATTTTTGTATCATAGAATGACAACTCTTATAACATCTTCATAGCACAAGAGTAGAGCCCTAGTCATCCGAATGACCAAACAAATTATTAAAGTCGAAACCCATAGAACACCGAATCTGAGATGTCCTAAAGTTAGAAATACTATTACACTCCCCCGGCAGTTTTACAACAACTGAACTGTAGAAAGGAATATGAGCTCATTGGTAAGGCAAATATACAACTATTTCATTGGATAAGCTACGAAAGCAAAAGAATAAAAAAAAATTTTGCTGAAAGCTTACGAGTCTATAGCATAACTGTTGGTCAAATACTTAGACTTCTTAAACATCCACAGCACTGACGAGTTAGGATACAACCAAACTAGAAGAAATGAGGAAAAATTTCAATCCAGCACTATAGTTAAAATCAACAAAGAAAAAACATTCTTGAAGAAATCTTGGTGCTCAAAACCTAACCTACCAAAAAACGCACCTTAACAAATATGACCCCCAAACGTGTCCAATAAAATTTAAGAATAGGATAATGATAGCATTACAGACTACAGTATCGCAATAACGCTAAACTAATTAATCGGTGATTCCAATGGTCTTTTTCTTTTCAAGATTCTCTCATTCTTCCTTTGATGATACTCTTCAACGTTGTTAAAACCAATCCTCTTTTCCAGAGATAATGAAATTTCTTTGGCACTCTTCAGAAGAGTTTTGACTTCAGAAGCAAAATTGGCAACAGCTTTCATTTGAGGATTCTCCTCCACAAATCCAAAATAAAACCCTCCTCTAAAACATTTGTACATAGTATACAAAATTCTTGAGAAAAATAATGAAACAAACTTTAAAGTGCACTGGGTTCCAGGCAGTAAACCTGACTTGCTCTGCAATACGTTTCAAACCAATAACCTTGTAAGAACAACGAAACTTCTACTTTGCGGCAAAAAATCCACATCTGTCACCCGTTCTGCAGCAGCCAACGTGACAGATTTGATAAATGTTTTCTGAGTGTAATCGAAACGAACTATATCAATAAAATCACTTTCTTCACAAAGGACAATTATAGTAAAAATATCCTGAAAACAACACAGTTTAAGTTTTTCACTTAAAACTGCCCCAACTGAATTTGCTGAGGTTTTACATTTCTTTAATTATTTAGGCAAAGTTACAAGAAAACTAGCAAGAATTAAAAAATATCCTAACTTCTCCAGATGGCAAAATCCGAGTAACACGAATTCGGCAATTGACAAAGAAGTTGCAGACAGCTGTTAAACTTCCATCGTCGGTGTGCCAAACACGAACAGTGCCATCTCCTCCTGCAACATAAGTAGCAACTCGAAAGTATTGTTTTTAAAAAGGGCCGACTTTAAGTGCCTGATACCTTAGAGACTGTAAACAAAAAAAAAGCAAGAATGGAAGTAACAGATTTGACGTAATATTTAAAAAAAAAGTATTCTAACAAGTTACACAAAGTTTACCAATTATGGAAAAGAGAAAAATGCTAGAAGATGAAATGTCAGGCAAATTCTCCAAAAGAAAAATTAATAAATAAGTAAACAAATTAAGTAAATAAATAACTAATAAACTTTTTGTGCTAACGTCAAAGATTCGAGCATATATATTGATGCTGGTTTCTATTTACCTGAAGAAAAAAGCAAGTTTTTCACAAACGTAACACAGTTAACATAAGATTCATGACCAAGACAAAATCGATGTATAACAAACGTCTGAGGATAACGAGATATCCGAATCTTTTCATCCCGATCCGAACTGGCTATGTATCGATCACAAGGTGAGATTGCAATATCAAGAACCATAGAAACATGACCAAGTAACAGTTCTCCTCTCTTACCTCAAAAAGTATTCATAACAGTCACTAAAAGCTAGAAGGTCAAAAAATTTACTGCTTTCATTAAATGACCAGTACATTCAATTTCTTTAAAGATATTAATTTTTTTCATACTCCGATCTTTTTCATCACACTGCTTATACATCACTACGCTGCTGAACTATCACAACTTCATTCAAGCACTGAAAAAGACCCTGCTTTTAAAACGACTACAAATGATAACTACCAAAAGTTCAACATTGGAAAGGTTCTTTAGGTTACAAAATGCTGAAAAATGCCAATTGTTTTGGAAGGGTCCAAGAAACTTTTCTATGTTCTTGTCTGTGGCATCGAAAAACACGATGACTACGAAGAGAAATTTTTAGTCTCTTTATTACAAGAAAAAACCAATGTCAGAAATAAATTCTGAAGACTTTCAAAATGAATTTAAAAAAATGATGGAATGAAAACTTTTGAAAATATGTGTTCTTAATTACTGCAGATAAATAACGAAATAAGAGTGATCCGAAGGTAAGAAAGCAAAATACAAAAAATAAACTTCAAAATCCTGGAAATCTTCTGAAAAATTGAGTAAAAACAATTGGATTATTAAAGGTGCTACCTAAAATCTTACGTCCTTTTTCCGGGCTACCTTAGCCCCTACTTTATTCTACTTTTTTCCTGCCTCTCATTTTCAAAGCTCATTCCCTCACTCCAAATATAATATAATTGAGCAGCTGTAAAAACCATTATTTGAAATTTATAAAAAAGAAGATCAACTTCTGTTAAGTTACCGTCCACCGCTTCTTCCTTCTTTTCAGAAGCCTCTAAACCATATCGGATCACGCTACCAGCTCGATCGCCCACAATGACCCAGGTAGACGTGGAATCAAAAACGACGGATGTTGGTGCTTTTGGTAGCCGAAAAGGAGCACATTTCAATTCCCAGCTTCTAGTTGTATCGTAAACAACGCAAGTTTTCATAGAAGTAACGACTGCAAATAACATACCATCTGCAGAGAAGTGACCGTCTAAAACCTGAAACTTAATGAAGTAGTACTCAAAGTTCCATGACAAATCCGTAGCATTGATTCCACTCCATTTAATAAATAACTGAAAAACTGATACTCATATTTAACAAATATCTCTACCTGTTTTTCAGCCTCCGGCAACTTCTGTTTTTTTTCATTCAAAGAATTGACTGCTTCTGCAGCGTTTTCGTCGTCATCCTCGACAACTTCTGAATCTGGGACAGTCGTCAGCTTGATATCAACATCAACAGTCCTTGTCAGCTCTATATGAAGATTAGCATCAGTAATGGCATATTGAAAAACAAAAAGAGTTGTATCTGCTGCCACAACAATTGAATCACTGGAGCAGAATATTTTTGCCATTAAAGTTTTACAGTTTTCATTAGCTGTTACCACCTGAAATTTAAACGAAGTTGCTCATTAGATTTTCCACATCAAAAGTCATAGCAGTTTTTCCTGGGTGATTCACAGAACAAACTCATAGATCAAAACATCACAATTACCATTTGTCGCCTTCCCTGAACAAACACGTTTTAACTAATTCAAAGAATTAAAAATCTCTGCCACTTCCTCTGTTATTTCACATCCTCCTGTAACTAGCCCACCATTAAGGCAAATCACTTTCTTCAAATTTACAGTCACGGAGGTAAATCTGGTCAAAACTATCTTCTAGGATAGAACGTAAAAAAATATTTTGTCATGTCGCAACACTCCAGCACTGTGTGAATACCATATTACAAGAATAAAAAGCCAGAACCCGTAAAGATGAAACCAAGCCGCGAAAAAGTCTGAATAACACAGGAAGCTCAAAGATTTTAACAGTCACTCTTCTGTATCCCTATTCTGACAGTTTCTAAAACGACGACTTTTGCGGGCAGAAATAAATAACCTCCAAAATCCGCACTCAACTAAAGCTTTACAACAGGAATGTCATTCTCTAATCCCCTACGTACTTAAAACAAATAAACACCCACAGATCAGACCAAAGACTTGCAAAGCTTGCTGGAATTGCTTAAAAGCGGAAGCCAAAAGAACAGCACAGAATCTTCCGTTCTGTACGAAATTAAAAAAAAACCTATGGCGAACGGCTCTTAAAGCAGATGTGTCATGCAGCGACCGAGTTGACACTCCATCAAATTCTATTTTTCCCGTTGCATCTGTTTCCAGCTAACTGCTGAAAAGACTTAGAAGCGCTACATCACTTACTACGTATTTTAAAGTCATCAGGAGCAACCTTTTCCTAACGTAATCATGCCTCAGAAATTCTCCGGTTCACATTTGGTTTATAGTTCAAAATCTTTCCACCATTTCCTCTTACATGTTCTGCTAAAATCACCATCCGAGCTAGAACGGTTCATCTTCCAGGGCCAAAAATTCCTGTGCTTTTTTTTTCTCCCTGTTCTTCCCTCCATTGTTGGAAACACGCGGTATAAAAATTTGTCAAAAGTATCTCTGTATCCTCCGCCACCAACTTCATTGAAAGACATTTGGACCGGTTCAAAAAATCCCTTCTTCCCTCTACAAAAGCTGGTCATAACTGTCAGATTAAATTAAATTAAATATAAAAGTTCTTCCATTAAAGATAAGAATTACAAAAGATTACTTCCAAATTACTTCCACAGTTAATTCTAAATTCAAAATGAACTTTATTTGTTGTCGCGAAACAATAGATCATCGTTCTTCTCAATAAATTTCAATAAATTTAAGAACCCCAGAATATACTTTTTCCAGCAAAAAATAATCAGAAATCCAATTATCTAACATTGTAAAATTAACTCATTGAGCTAAGATTTTAAAACAAAGTGAAACTCCTCATCTGCAAAGTGTGGAATCCCTGTGATGCAATAAAAACAATTCTGTAATCATCCAATAAACACCCAAAAAAAAACTTATAGTAAAATAAAGAATAGAACTGTCTCTGCACAAGCTTTAACTCTGATCATTCAAGACCAGCTAGAACGAAGAAAAAAAAAACAGACTTATTAGTATAGCTGTGCGCCTTGAATTATGCCGATCTTACCGAACAACAAATCAAAGGCGATCGTCCTGCACGCAGTAAAATTGTTCCTCCTACTTTGTCCACTTGGTAAATATCACTATTTTCACGGACCATCAAAAAACTAAAATTCCTCGTATTCAACTGCCGTACGCTGAACTCGCAGTGCAAATTTACTTATAGATTCAAAGATTTCAAAAGTTTAAACGTCGCAACAGATTTATAATCGGCACTTTAATTTTGCGGGCTCCTATAGCTGACACTACGCACTTATCACGTAGCGTTGCAAACTTGCCAAAGCAGCACCGTATTCTGTTGCCTGACAAGATTTTAATTAAAGCGGGTAGTTAAGACTGTGCTGATCCTTCTCGTAAGAAGTCTTAAGAGTTTACACTGATACTACAGTTCTACGGAAATCGCCTATATTTAACCCCTGAACTGCTCAAACGACAACTTCGATTTCAATATCACTGGCAAGTTGACAACTGTTTGCCGTCCATTCGTGGATATAGTGAATTTTATTTGCAAAACTTTGTCCCAGCTTGTTATTATACTCAAAACAAAGAAATTAACAGGTTATCTTTGAGGAATAATGTATATACACTGCATTACGTAAAACATCGTATCAGCCTTGCTTTTTGGCCTTAAAATAAGGCATAAGAAAACAGTTCGACAAAATCGTGAATTACTTTCCCCTGTCTTCTACTTAAGTTTCAACTAAGGCCAAAATCAAGTCGTTGGTGCCAGTTATTAATATCGTGTCAGATAGATTTTCTCCACTCCTTACTTTTAAGTCAGCCTTTTTTTTTTTCTAGCTGGGGTACTGCAAGTGCTTGCGCCTGCAACTTCTCTCTCTAGTACTACAAATTGTAATGTACGATACATGGCTATCAATCTCAATGAAGCCTTAAATATTCAAACGTTATGGTAACTGGAGGATAAGACCAGTTCATATAAAAATAAAAGTGAATTAAAAGTGACAAAACTGATCCGAAAACGACCAGAAACATTGCTGTCCGCAGGCATAGTGTAAAAAGGAATTTATTTGTAACGTCGTACGCCGTTTCTGACGTCATACCGATGATTTGGTAAAAGTGAAGTGAAGTAGTTTCAATAGATGGAGCAATGTGAACACGTAAGGCACTTTCTTCCTCTACGGCACATTTGCCAACTATCAAGAATTTAATAATGTGGAAACACTAGTTAGCAAAAAGATAAAAAGCTTTATCTACATTGGATCTTCTCCTCAGCAGCGTAAAATGCATGACGCTGTGGCGCTATGCAGCTAAAAAATACCTTCAGAAACCGAATTCATGAAACACTATTAATCACTGTTTCTGACGATTACAACCGAAGCTTTTATATAGACTCTATATTTGCTGCAAGATTCAATCATTAACAGGATTCAGCCCTCTTTCAAGCAGTTCAGATCATTTCATAAGGAAAAAGAAAAGGCGTTCATACAGTACCACAAAGTCCCACTGTCAAACGACAAGGCTAATTTTCTGCCCTATTAATCGCTTCCTTATTTTTGTTGCTCTCAGAAAGATTTTTTCCAAACTAAAAATTTAAAACGTAGGAAAAAGTTAGAAAACAATATTATCAGTCAAAAAAATAAAAAATAAAAAAATTTTTTACTTTTTTTTTAGCTTAGAAAAAGTGGCTAAACTTCCGGAAGTATATATATAAATATATATACTCCAATAAGCGTTTCTAGAGAATGTCAAAATCGGGTCCTGGTTTTCAGTCTGAAATGTCACTGCAAATACAATTTTCATATAAGACGTTCTATGTTAGCAAATAACAATTTGTTTTGAAAAAATTAAAAGTTCACAGAATTTTTAATTTAGGCAGTCATCTATTTAAATAATTTTTTTTTTTTTTGCTGAACTTTTTAGAAACTGTGCACGTACTTTATCTGAAAAAATAATGATTTGTATAAGTAGTGTTTCAGCAGCATGAAGTAAACCTCAACAAATCTTAATATTTAAGAAACAAAAAAAGCAACTTATGTAAAACAAAAACTGAAAACTTTTGGTTTATATATAATTTTAAAGAACAGGTGAAAAAAAAAAAGGTCAACAACGACAGCAACAACAAAAATGATAAGTTATTCTGATTACAGAAAAGAAATAAATATTTTTACTCAATAATGGCCAATATTTTCAAATAAAATGCTACTGCTGTAGCAGTTAGCCACAAAAGCACACACGGACAATGTGTCAGTTATTGGAGGTAAGCCCAGGTACTATTAGACTGTGCGATCACTGGAACACCACAGCATGTTAAGTTTTTCCCATTTCAGCCCCATTAATGCTAGTCCTATTTTAGGTTGTTTTAGTTTCTTAATATTTTCCCTACAAAAATGTTTCCAATTTCAGTTATTTATTGTAGTTTTAGCTATGAATTTATATTTGATATGCCATAGATTATGCAACTATATACTTGACGAAGACAATCACTGAAACTGCTGTTATTCTGGATATTATAGGTATTTGAGTGTGTGTGTGTGTGTGTGTCCTTGTGTGTGTGTCTGTTTCTGTGTGTGTGTGTGTGTGTTTGTCATCGTTGTTGGAGAGAGGGAAAAAGAGTGCGTGAATACGTCTTCAAAGCGTACTATTGGCATTATGGAGGACTCTTTGCGCCGTTGATCAGTCAACATCACCACCAACATGTCGGCAGCAAATCAGGAGGAACGACAAATGAAAAGCAGTTTTGTTTTTCCCGTACTTTCCGGTTGCTGAAAGAGATGGAGAAGCGCAAAAAAGCTACTGAAATATTTAGGAAATTTGAAT